GGAGACACATGTGAAAATACTGAATAGTTTCTCTGATGTTAAATGAGGTAAATGAAAGTGTAAGGCAGGACCAAAATGTATACTGGATAATGTGAAAATAGAAGAAAAGGTCCAAAGGGGCAGCAGAAGTAGGGAGAGGTGGGATAGGGGAAAGGAAAGAAGGGAAAGAAAAAAATATGAGAAAAGAAGGAAAAACTGGAAACAAAGTTTTTTGTACATGGGTTGGGGGTGGAAGTGAGGGAAGGAGAATGGGGAAAAAACAAGAACCAAGATATATTATGTACAGGTACAATTTCACAATGATGAATGTGATTATAATGTATACCTAAATTTTACCAATAAACATAATGAATTTTAAAAATGTAATTGAGACTAAGAAAACAATACAAAGGATCAAGGAATCAGAGAGTTGATTCTTTGAAAGATTAAATAAAATCAACAAATCCTTAGCCAAAAAAGGACAGAAAAGACTCAAATTCATGCAATTAGGAATAAAAAGGGTGAAATCACAACAGTTCCTACAGAACTCCAGAAGATCATCAAGACCTACTTTGAGAAATTATACTATAATTAGATGGAAAATACAAAAAGAACAGATTCCTATAAATGTATGAATTAGCAAAACTGAAACAGGAAGATATTAAAATTCTAAATAAACTAATATCAGTCAATGAAATTGAACATGTGCTTAAAAATGAACCAACAAAGGTCCTCATAGGTTCTAAATTCTACAAGACATTTAGAGAGGATCTAATGCCAGTTCTCCTCAAACTCTTTAATTACATAGAAAGAAAAGTAATATTCCCTAAATCCTTCCTCAAAGCAAGTATCATTCTGATACCAAAACCAGAGAAAAGCCCAACCAAAAAGAGACCAAAAAGAGAAGAAAAAGAGAGACAATGGCAAACAGAATGCAGCAAATCATCAAGATTATACACCATGACCTAGTAGGATTCATCCCAAGGAGGCAGGGATGTTTCAACATATGCAAATCAACAAATACACCATATCAACAGAGCAAGACAAAAAAAATCACATAATCATCTCAATAGATGGAGAGAGAGCATTTGACAAAGTCAAGCATACACTGAAGATAAAAACTCTACAGAAAATTGGAATAGATGGTCTTGATCTCACTGTGATAAAAGCCATCTATGATAAACTAACAGCCAACATCAAAATGAATGAACAAAAACTGAAAGCTTTCACCATAAAATCAGGAACAAGACAAGGATGTCCACTGTCACCACTGTTACTCAATATACTTCTGGAAACATTAGCCAGACCAATTAGACAAGAGAAAGAAATAAATGAAAAATAATAGGAAAGGAAGAAATCAAATAATCATTATTTGCAGATGACATGATACTCTCCATAGAAGAACCCCAAATTTCCACCAAAAGGCTTCTAGATTTAATAACCAAATTCAGGAGCATAGCAGGATAAAAGTCAACATTCAAAAAATCATAATATTCCTGTACACAAATTGCAAATTCACTGAAAGAGAATTTAAGAAAACAAAACCTTTCACACAGCATCCTAAAAAACTAAATACCTAGGAGGTAAAAGACCTCTACATTGAAAACTACAGTGCTCAAAAAAAGAAACCCAAGAGGATATGAGAAAATGGAAAGATGTACTTTGTTCTTGGGAAGGAAGAACCCATATATCAAAAATGGGCATACTCCCAAAATTGTTATACAGATTTAATACAATTCTGATCAAAATTCCAACAGTATATCTCACAGAATTTGAGAAAATAATCCTAAAATTCATTTGGAACCAGAAGAGACATAGAATAGGAAAAGTAGCTAAGCAACAAAGGCAAGGCAGGGAGCACTACAATCACTGACTTGAAATTCTATAGAGCTTCTGTGATAAAAACACAATGGTACTGGCAAAGAAATTTTAAAAAATCAATAAAAAGACCCAAGGATCAATGGATAGACTAGAAAGTGTAGAAACAACCCCAAATCCACTAAGCCACTTAATCTTTAACAAAGGGGCCAAACATAATCACTGGAAAAAAGAAATCCTCTTTAAATAAGTTGTGCTGGACAAACTGGCTTAGCAATACCAAAGACTAAAATTATACCCAAGTCTCTTACCATGCACTAGACTAAATCAAAAGGAATTAAAGATCTAAATTTTAAAATAGAAACATGAAATCTGCCAGAAGAGAGATTAGGTAGAACTCTTCAGGATTTAGGTGCAGGCAGACTTCATGAACAAAACTCCGATAGCACGGGAAATAGTACAAAGAATCAACAACTGGGATAAAGCTTTTGCACCACAAAAGAAATCACCAATAGAGTGAAGACACAATCCACAGGGTCAGAAAAAACTTTAGTCTGTTGTTCCTCAGACAAAGGACTAATATCTACAACATACAAAGAATTGAAAAAATATCAGAACCCCCTAAATATAAAGACCAAATTAAAAATGGGCATCTAAAATGAATTGACTCTTCTCAGTTGAATAACAGATGGCTAGTAAATATATTAAAAATGTTCAGCATCCCTGGTTTTTTGAGAGATGCAAATTAAAACAATGCTGAGATCCCATCTCACTCCAGAAAGAAGGGCTATTATCAAGAAATCAACCAACAACAAATGCTGGTGAGGCTGTGGGGGGAAAAGGAACACTTCTCCATTGTTGGTGGAAGTGCAGACTGTGCAACCACTATAGGAATTAGTGTGGAGATTCCTCAAAAAACTATGATTAGAGGTCTCACTTGACCCAGCTATTCCTCTTTTGTGTATCTTCCCAAAAGAATTAAAAGCATCGTACCTCAGCAATATATGCACATCCATGCACAGTTTGTAATAGCTAAATCTGGAAGCAACCCAAGTGCCCATCTACCAGTGAATGGTTAAAAAAAGTGTTGGTTTTCTTTTTTTAGCCAAATACTAGCTGCTTTTTTATTTCTGGAAAACGACAACAAATAAAAGAAGATGAGGGGGGTGAAGAGAGGAGAGGAAAAAAGAGAGAGGGAAGAGGGGAAAGGGGGACATTTTCTGTGAGACAACAAATTCAAGTAGGGCAACAGAAGGTAGAGTTTGCCATACCAAAGAGAAAAAGAATATCTGGGAAGCTACATGATCACTCATGTTGGATCAGGTAGTTGCTGTAAACCAGTAAAATCTAGTTTACTGCATCCAGGGAATTATTATTTCACCCAGGCTTCTGTCCCACCATTGTCCCGCATGATTGTCAAAAGCTCTGTCACCATCTTAGTGTACTTTAGGATCCTAACGGAATTCCTACCTGACAGACCAATTGTGATATAGTCCATTTCTGGCCCAAACTGCAACTTGCCCACAGAAGCATTTTAACAAAAGAGTCCTTAATGTGTGATGGATTCAAAACCTGGAAAAAGTCATGAGTAATTCCCCTACTCATTAACTAAAATTTTCTTTATCCTCTCTTGCTCTAAAAAGGACCCACACATTTTTTGGATGGTATAGTTATACATGCAAGGGTTTTTCTGTTTTGTTTTTTGTTGGTTTTTTTTTCTTTTTTTGTCTTTATCCTCAGACCAAAGAATAAACTTTTCTTCACAGCTTAATTGGCTCTCACCTTTGTTATTTGTTCCATGATTTGGATAAAGAGAAATAATTTAGGAGCCAGGATTTAGCTCAGTGCTTCAACCACCTGCCTTGCAAGCAAAAGGTCCCAAGCTCGATCCCTGGTACCAAAAAAAAAAAAAAAAAAAAAAAAAGAGAGAGAGAGAGAGAAAGAGAAAGAATTTACTATGATCAGAAATAGGTTAAGGCCAGGGATTCAGCTCAGTGGCACCACACTTACCTTGCTAGTGAGTTCATTAGACTCATTCATAGGAAAATGGATACATATTGAGGATATACTCCTCAGTGAAATAAATCAGACATGTATAAATACCGAATAGTTTCTCTGGTGTGAAAAACGATAATGGTACATAAGATCCTAATGAGATAATTGACAATGTGAAATAGAAAGAAAAGGGATAAAGGTGTCAGATAAATGGGAAGGGTAGAGGAAAGGTAATAAGGGAAAAGGAAAAAAATGAGAAAATGAAAAAATGAAAAAATGGAAATAAAGTATTTGTAACTAGGGAAGGGAGGAGGGGTGAAGGGAAGGCAGGGATAAGGGGAAAAAATGAGAACCAAGAGCTGTCATGTAAAGGTACAAGATCCCAATAAAAAAAAAGTTCCCAGTTCGATCCCAGAGAGAGAGAGAGAGAGAGAGAGAGAGAATTTACTATGATCAGAAATAGGTTAAAGCCAGGGATTCAGCTCAGTGGCATTGCATTTGCCTTGCAAGCAAAAGGTCCTGAGTTTGGTCCTGGGGTACAAAACAAACAAAAAAATAGATAACATTTAGAGGTGCGTTTACATCTCTGCAGATGTCAATATCTCTCTCTATAGATATATATATTTATAGAAATCTATAAATGCTGAATAAAAATGTAATATACAATTCCAGAAACACTGCATGATATGAAAACAGAAAAGGATCACTTACACATGAACATTTTTAAAGAACCTAACTTTTTTTAAAAAAAATCATTGTATAGATGGTACTTGGTCTGAGAACAGATCCTGAGTCTAGGCTAGAAGTGGAAGTTAGCCAGGGGTGGTGGTGCACGCCTGTATCCCAGCACTCGGGAGGCTGACGCAGGAGGATCGCTATGAGTTCGAGACCAGTCCGGGCTACATAGTGAGCTCCAGGTCAGTCTCAACTACATAGTGAGAACCTGTCTCAAAAACCAAAAAAAAAGAAAAGAGAAAGAAGTGGAGGTTAACCTTCCTAGCTCCTGTGCAGTGTGCAGACAGGACGGCTGAAGGATCTCAACCTAGGCAAGGGTCAAAGATCAACACGAAGGGAGAGAATACCTACTGTGACCTCACGACTACGGGTCGGTGTTTTTAAAGTAGGAGCCCGGTTCCTAAGTGGCGTGGAAGCCTTGGGCCAGGTCCCTGACTTACAGGATCTCAGGCTCCCCCTTTTCAGTGTTACCTGGCCTAGGTGCCACTCGTGCTTCCCACAAGTAGTCAGTTCAGGGGAAACTTCAGCGGTGGCCGGGCTCCTGGGCTCTTGTGATCTTTCAGAACTGTCGCTCACGAACCGGGGGCGGGGGCTACCGGAACTACCCAATCAGAGGCTACCGGAAACCGTCGTGGCGAGTCACTCGCCTAGGCTAGAGGAGGTCGCTTCCTGTTAAATGATCTGTGTAAACACGTCTCACCTGAAGCACTTGATGTTCCTCTCCCTGCGGAACTGTGACTTGCAGTGGTCGTGAGAGCGTGCTGAGGCCTCTGGGTCACCGGTGAAGCCGGGAATGGTGAGTGCGGACCCAGCTTCGGGGCTCCAGGGACGACCTGGAACCTGTGCTTTCGGCAGTCCTAGAGCCCCACGCCGGCGACCGCTGCTGCCCACTCGGTCTCCTCCAAGCCTCAGGGTGAGGCTATGATGGCAGCCGCATCCACTGCAAACTGTCCTGCCCTGTGTAGTGCTATGGACACCAGCCTGAAGCCCTGTGTCTTCCCAGTGTGTGCGTGGGCGGAGGGACACGAGGCGACTCCTGACTGGAGGGTGGGGTTCGTAATGGGAAGCGCCGAGGCCCGTGGGGTTCCTTGTCGCCGGGCAGCCTTATTTGTCCCAAGTCTTCCAAATTCGACCCTCATTCTCCAGCCTAGCTCTTGGTATTCGCAGGAAGGAAGGTTTAATTCTAATTTTGTGTGGGGTACCTGACGTGTGAGTGAATCAGAAAATAAGAACGTAGAACTACTTGTGTAAATCCTTGTACTTTTCTTTCCTAGGTTTTTTCTGGACCCAGGCTTCCTGGGGGCTACCTTAGGTTAAGGTTTCTCTTTGCAAACTTTCCTAGGTCCTTTCAGCACTGGCTCTCTCACTCACCCCACCCGTTCCCCAGCTCCGTTTTGGGTTGTTTGTTTTCTTTTTCCTTTCGTCCATACCTAAAAGAGTTTGAATATGGTGAATTATGTGCAAAAATGATTAGGGCATACAGTGATTTTAGACTTCCCAATCTCCAGAACTGTTAGAAATAAATGTGTTGTTTAACCCCCTCAGCGCTTAGTATTTTGTTGTAGAACCCTGTGGTGTGATGCCATTGTAGTTATTTCCACGTATTAACCATAAAGTGTGTCGTTCAGGTGTTGGTTATGATTTTCCAAGAAACTGTCAGAAATCCTTTATTTTTTTGCTCACTTCTTTGTGCCTTGTTTGTGTGTGTAATTGATTCAGGTTTATATGACCTTGTGGTTTAGACAGAGTCCACGCACGGAGGAAATCAGAAGCATCCTTAGAACTGTACTGAGAGATTGATGAAAGTTTTTATTTGTCAAAGTGTGCATAGTATTAGAGGAGGCCATGTGTTGTAAGGAAAATGCTGCCACCAACATCAGATAACAATAGACATCACAAGGTCTAAAGGAGACACTTGCTAGATTAGTTACTTTAACATGAGACCCCAAGACTGCAAACGGGGATCAGTGTAGTGTAAGGTCTAGCATATAGCAAAAGATAGCAGGATTCCCAAATAATCAGAATGGAAAGGTGGGAGCAAGGAGAATTTAGTATCTTGTCTTTGCTCTCTTTCTATTGGCTGCTTTCCTCTTGACCCCTCCCTTTCAGAAAGAGGCTGTTGCCACTCTGACTGGTTCTTACAGTGCAACTTCCTAAAATGCAGGGCAGGACAGGGCAGGGCCGGGAAAGAGAGTAGTCTGCCAGCTAAATAGATGTACTTCCCCAGGCTGGTTTCTGATCTTCCTCAAAGACCCATCTCAAGTACCATGTGTTTGGAAAATCATTTCATGAAATTTTGCAGGGGTGGGTACCGGCGATCGATCTCGGGACCTTGCTCTTGCAAGGCAGGCAGCGGCACCAATGAGCTAAATCCCCAGCTATGAAATTTTTTAAAGAGTTTCAGTCATCCCATTTCATGCCCAGCCTCCAGCACACACCTCTTATTAAAATTTTCACACTGAGATGAATAAAATAAAAATATATTTCCCTTGACATATCAATGAGAGTTGAACAAAATGGAATTTGAAGTTATAATGCGTACCTACAAAATCTTGATTTTACACCATAGAATATTTTTATTTTAGGCATAGTAAGTCTAAACTGAATTGTGGACTGAGCAACATCAATATGGAATTATCTGGGAGGAAAAGTAGAAGTCTGTATAGAATGTCTCCCATAGTAGAGTTGATCATCTCTGTAAGTGGTAGAGTCCTGCTTATGGGAGTGTGTCACCATTTTCTTGGCCTTTCACAGCGATCCTCCTGCCTCAGCCACCCAAGTGCTGGGATTACAGGCATGTGCCACCATGCCTGGCTGAAATGTATTTATTTTTATCCGTGCATGTTAGTAATAAAGAACGGTGGGGCTTACTTGGGGTTTTCCTTTCTTGCATTTAACATGTCTTTGTCATTTTCAATCTCCTACCCCTCTCTCCCTTTTATCTCACAACCCCTCACTCCCAGTCAGTCCCTGTTTCCAGATGTCCACCATCAGTTTGCTGGAATTTCTCCTGTATTTTATTCATTAATTTATTAATTAATGTGTCTTTTCACAATGTTGTTTCCTTTGCTGTGCAGAAGCTTTTTAATTTGATATAATCCCACTTATTAATTCTTGATATGATTTCCTGGGCTGTTGGAGTTCTATTCAGGAATATTTTGCCTGAGCCTGTGACTTCAGGTATTATCCTTATGTTATCTTCCAGCAATTTTCAATTTCTGGATTTTGTTGTTGTTGTTTTTGGTACCAGGGATCGAACTCAGGCCCTTGTGCTTGCGAGATAGGCGGCGGAACCACTGAGCCAAATCTCCAGCCTCAGTTTCTGTTTTTATATCTAAATCTTTGGTCCATTTTGATTTATTCTTAGTACAGAGTGAAAGATAAAAGTCATATGTAATTGTAGTTTCAGTCATCTGCAAGTAGATTTCCAATTTTCTCAACACCATTATTAAAAGAGGCTGTCTTTTCTCCAAGGTCCCTCTGCTAAAAATCTGGTAGATTTAGGAGAATGGGATTATTTCTAGTGTCTCTTCTATTCTTTTGACTACATCTCATCAAGTTTTGCCTTAGATCCTACAACAAGTTATCCTGATGATTTAGCCTGGAGGATGTCTAGTCTGAAAGGAGGTAGAAGCTCTATGATTCCCACCCATACATGGGCTTTACTTATCTTCCATTTGATTGACTCAGTTTCATGTTTACTAATAACATAATACTAAGCAAAGATTTCTCCTGAGTTTGACAGTGATAGAGAGTATTGGGAGATTCAAATTTGTGGTTGACTGGGCATATATGTGGATAATCCTGTTAACCTATTTGTGGATCACACTTGAAGTCTTTTAGGACAGAGCTCTTCTTTTGTTGTTTTTGTTTTTGGGACAGGGTCTCGCTATGTAGTTCAGTGTGGTCTTGAATTCACTATATAACCAAGGCTTGCTAACAACTTCCTCCTGCCTCAGTCTCCCGAATGCTGGCATTATAGGCATGAACTACCATGCCTTGCTTTCTGGGACAGACCCTTTAACCTGTGATTAATTCCATACAGTTTCCATATGGGCATCCTTGGGATCCTGAAGATGCATAAATGGGCCTTGGGCCACCATTATAGTCTCTTGTTATTATCTTCCTAAATTCTGAAAAAAATGAACATATTCTTTTATTTATTTTTCTCCACAGTTTAGAACAAAACAGAAAATAATGTGATGAACAACCAAAGCATGTTTCTAGCTCATTATGAATGTATAATCTTAAGAAATTTTGTATAAATTCTCATAATTTTTCTCTCTTTGCCTTTTAGGAAAAAATTTTGAAAGACAGTAGTTTTACAGATTGGTACCCAAATTGGGAAGAAGACAAGGTAATTTTCCACAAAACTAAAGGAATTCTCCTACAAGAGAATATTAGTGTGTTATGATTTTTTTTTTTTTTTTTTTTTTTTTTTTTATTTTTTTTTTGTAGTGAAGGACATTGAACACAGTTTCATGCATTGCAGGCATGTGCTTTACTGCTGAACTGTAACCTGAGACAGTACTCTGGCAATCTTGCTACCTAAGCCCCCTGACCCAGTAGCTAAGTGTGCAAGGACAAACCACTGTGTCCTGCTAATAACATGATAAATTAGAGATAAGGAAATAAAACAACTGAGTGCAAATTTAATTTACTTAATCATTGAAATCTTTTAATAAAAATGTATACTTAGCTGTATGAGGTGGTAATCTGGTTGGATGCCAGCCTAGGCTACATGGTGAATTCAAGGTCAGTCTGAATTACATAGTAAAACCCCATTTTAAAAAAAAATTATATATATATTTTAAATGTGATATATGTGTTTAATGTTTATAAGTTAGAAAAACAAGAACCCATTTAATGAACTTTACTTATAAAAGAAACCTGTGTATATAAGGTACATGATGTTTTAAAATTCACATAGTAAAGTTGTTACTGTAATGAAAATGAACACATACATTATGCAACAGTAACCCATGTTTTCATTTTTGTAAAACAGCCAAGTAAAATCTCATGTAAAGTATTCCCAAATAAAACACAATTTTATTACCTATACTTTTCATGTTGTACATCCAATCTGTAGACTTGTTTGTTCTAAATACCTGTTTAGTGTCTTCTTACAAACATGTCGTCATTGTGTTCTGACCTCAGCTGTTCTCTCGGGTAAGAATTGTTTTATTGTATATGTCTAAATATTTGATTTCACATGTAAGCATGATCCTGTAGTATTTTTGTTCTGTGTCTTATTTCACTAAGCTTAATGTTCTCTACCCCCATACATATAGTCACAAATGGAAAAATCTGCTATTATTTTTACCTAGTATATGTTTGTGATATATAATTGCATTCATTGAATTTGGGGGAAATTTTATTTTTTAATTTCATGTTTCAAATTCACACTGTATACTATAATATACAGTTATATACTATATAAACTTGTCTAGAATATTCAATATTTGACTTAGACAATATTATTTTACCTGAATCTGGAGAAATACGACTTGGCTCTTCTTTTTATAAATATCAATAATGATGCCATATTAGAAAATAAGGCATTAGCAATCAGTTTTTTCCTAACTTTCTATTGGATTCACTTACACTTAACATGTTTTGGATTTGGGGTTGTTGGATGTTGTCTTAGTTACTTTTCTCTCATTGCTGAAACAAAATACGCTTCACCCAAAGTTAAAGGGGAAAGGGTTTATTTAGCTCACAGTTTATAGAGGTTTTCAGTCCATAATCAGCTGTCTCCAACACAGAGTGGCACATGGCAGAGGGGTGTCACAGAGG